TAGTAATAGTAATACAGCTAGTGCTCGACTTACGACCGTGGTCGGGACTGCGGACCGGTTGTAACACGATTTGGTCGTAAGTTGAGTAGGCTATATGTACAGTTGAAATGGTGCATGCAGAGATGGTAGTGCTGCCAGAAGCTGGTCCGCACAGTCGTACACCCAGCTGGGCAACGTTTGCGCTGCCAGACACGGAGCAGTCGTGGCTAGTGATTGTGGTCGTAAAGTCAAATGGTCGTAAGTTGCATAGGTGGTAAGACGATCAATACCTGTACTGCATATTAACAGTGAGCACATGGACACTGAAATTAAAAATCGCTTAAAAAGATATTTAAGTGGACCGGGAGTGCTGGCTCATGCTTGTAATCCCAGCACTTTGGGAGGCCAAAGTGGGCAGATCATGAGGCCAAGAGATCAAGACAATCCTGGTCAACATGGTGAAACCCTGTCTCTACTAAAAATACAAAAATTAGCTGAGTGTGGTGGCACGGGCCTGTCGTCCCAGCTACTCAGGAGGCTGAGGCAGGAGAATCACTTGAACCCGGGAGGCAGAGGTTGCAGTCAGCTGAGATCTTGCCACTGCACTCCAGCCTGGCTACAGAGCGAGACTCCATCTCAAAAAAATTAAAAAAAGATATGTAAGCGTAAATCTAACAAAAACATGTATAGAATCATACACTGAAAACCACTTAACAAAGATGAAATAAATAAATTTAAATCAATTGGAAGATTCAATATAGGAAATACGTCAATTTCCCCCCAGTTACTATCTGGGCTTGGGCTGGGCGTGGTGGCTCATGCCTGTAATCCCGGCACTTTGGGAGGCCAAGGTGGGCAGATCGCCTGAGGTCTGGAGGTGGAAACCAGCCTGGCCAACATGGCAAAACCCCATCTCTACTAAAAATACAAAAAAAATTTAGCTGGGTGTGATGGCAGGCACCTGTAATCCCAGCTACTCAGAAGGCTGACGCAGGAGAATTGCTTGAACCTGGGAGGCAGAAGTTTCAGTGAGCAGTGGTCATACCATTGCACTCCAGCCTGGAAAACAAGAGCGAAAATTCTATCTTAAAAAGAAAATGTGGGTTTTATCCAATTCCTATCAAAATCCCAGCAATATTTTTTTCTGTAGACAATGACAGTTTTATTCTAAAATATATATGGAGACCAGGCATGGTGGCTCACGCCTGTACACCCAGTACTTTGGAAAGGCTGAGGTGGACGGATCACTTGAGGCTAAGAATTTGAGACCAGCCTGGCCAACATGGCAAAACCTGGTTTCTACTAAAAATACAAAAATTAGTTGGGCATAGTGGCGTGCACTTGATTATAATCCCAGCTATCTGGGAGGCTGAAGCACAAGAATCACTTGAACCCAGGAGGTGGAGGTCACAGTGAGCCGAGATCATGCCACCACACTCTAGCCTGGGTGATAGAGCAAGACCTTGTCTCAAAAAAAAAAAAAAAAGTATATGGAAAAACAAATAATTTTGAAAAATAAGAATTAAGTAGGAGGAATCAGTATTTTGATTTCCAGACTGATAACCACAGTAATCAAGACTTGGTGATTGGTGGAAAGAGATCAGTGGAACAAAGGGAGAATCCAGAAATAGACACAAATGTGCCCAACTGATTTTTGACAAAAGTCGTAAGGAATTAAGTGAAGAAAAGACAGCTTTTTCAACAAATGTTGGAACAATTGGGCATCTATAGACAAAAATAATCAACCTCAACCCAAGTCTCATATCTTATACTAGAAGTAACTGAAAATGGGTCATGCAATCAAATGTAAAATTAAATTACAAAACATTTAGAAAAAAACGGAGATCTAGGGCTAAGCAGAGTTCTTAGATCAACACCAAAAGTGTAGGAGCAAAAATGTCTAAGTCGGACTTCATCAACATTGAAACCTTCTACTCTATGAATGACCCTTTTGAAAGTATAAAAAGATATTCAACCAAACCATGTACTATATATGATTTGTCTTTTATGCTAAAGTTAAAATTGTTTTATTATTTGTGGAGTGTCTCTGTTTCTAATTTACGCTCAAACTTCCCAGGAGAACTGAAAATCTCTGAATACAATCCCACCCGTCAAGCACTGTCAACTTCATTTTCTTCTTAAAGACTTTTCCACCGAGCCTGTTTCCTGCCTCAGTCTAGGCTACTCAGCCTATAGGCAGTCTGTATATTTACCATGCGAGGACATCCTTTTCCCACATTCTTAGAACTTCCTCTACCTCTTTTTCTGTGTTAGATCCCGTCTTCTCTTTTATCCCTTTTTCCCATCTTCCCTCACTTCAGGGAAGAAGTAACTCTTCCAGTACTTTCCTGGCTAAAGTTAAAAGGACTGAAACAGCACAAGCCAGGATGTGGAGTAATGGGACCCTCAAACAGTGCTGGTGAGTGTGTAAATGGGTGCAGCCACTTTGGAAAGTGGTTATGTATTCTCTGCTAAAGTTGAAAATTCCCAGGAACCCAGCAGCTCCAATCAGTAGGCATTTTGTACCCAAAAGAAATATGCACATGTATGTGCCAGCAGGCAAGTACAGCATATCAAAGCGGCATTAATCTCATTGCAAAAAAAATAGCAAAAAGCCAGATGTCCACTGGCAAGAGAATAAATATGTAAATGGCAGCATATTCATGCTATGTAATATACAACAGTGAACATGATCAACTATATTTATATGCAGTGAGGTAGATGAATCTTGTAATTTTGAATGAAAGAAGCCAAATACTAAAAATACTATATGATTCTATTTATATCAAGTTAGAAAACCAGGTGAAACTATACTATAGTGGTAAATGTTTAAAGGTGGAAGCCTAGAAATGATTACTTAAAAGGTAAGGACTGTGTTTAGCTCTTGGTGCAGCGAGGGGGCGGAATGATAGGGAACGAGGTGTGCAAGGCCTTCTAGGAAGACGGCCATGGTCTCATGGATGCTCACCTAATGGTAAGTTACTGAACTGAATGTGTTTGTTCTGTGCACTTTTTGTGTGTGTGTTATATTTCACAATATGAGTGAAAATGAGCAAAGATGAAAGCAAACCCAAAATTAGATACTATTATATTAATTACTGCATGGACAAAAAGTCAACATTAGCAAGCATTGGTGAAGATGTGGGTTAGCCTGAACTCATACCCTATTGGTGGGAGTCTAATTTGTTTGCGTATTTAAAAAACGGTTTGATCTAACCTAGTAATGTTGCTTGTGCATGTGCCATAGGGCGGAACAGTTCTGTGGGTGTGCCCCATGGGTCTCCTGCTGGGGCTGGAAAGCTGGCATCTCCCTGGAGCCTGTTCTTTTCCTGCTGGATATTGGGAGTTGCAGGGAGAAAGTGCAGAAACATGAAGCCTGTTGAGGCCTTAAGTTCAGAACCTGCAAGCTGTCACTTCTACCCACATTCTACCGCCGAAAGCCAGTTGCAAAGCCCACCTGACGTGGGGCAGGGGGTGGCAGGGGCTAAATCTTAAGCTAACCTAAGAAAGTGGAAGCTGAGCTCCTCGGTTGAATACCAGCACATTTCTTGGCTCTGCAGATGCTGTATTACCCGTGTCCCAGTATTTTGGAGAGGCGACATGTTGATACCTGGAGGTTTTCTAAGTGTTGTCTCAGCCTCGACAATATTTCATGCAATGAAAAATTCCTTGTTACATTTATGAATGGCCAATATTTGTCTGAAAAGTATTTGCACTTTGAGTTGGCTGCTGTAAACATATATATGTTGGAAAGTAGGACACTTTTTTTTTTTTTTTTTTTTGAAACAGAGTCTTACTCTGTCACCCAGGCTATAGTACAGGGGTGCAATCTCGGCTCACTGCAACCTTCACCTCCCAGGTTCAAGCAATTCTCCTGCCTCAGCCTCCCAAGTAGCTTGGATTACAGGCGCCTGCCACCACATCGGGCTAATTTTTGTATATTTAGTAGAGATGGGGTTTCACCATCTTGGCCATGCTGGTCTTGGACTCCTAACCTCGTGATCTGCCCACCTCAGTCTCCCAAAATGTTGGGATTACAGGCATGAGCTATCACACCCAGCTGGGCACTTCTTAATCTAAGGAACATAACTTGTTTCATGTTCAGTGTGATTTTGAATAAAGTTGCATAGATTTTACTGATTTTTAGTAGTTTTACCTCTAGGACTTTATTGTTTTTTATTTATGTATTTTTGAGACAGGTTCTCACTATGTTGCCCAGCCAGGCTGGTCTCAGGCTCCTGGGCTCAAGTGATCCTCCTGCCCTGGCCTGCCGAGTGGCTGGGGCTGCAGGTGGTGTACCAGCACACCTGTCGAGGACTTTACTTTTTTAAAGCCGCTTTTCTCCCACTCTGTTCTCTTCCCTCTCACTGAGACTCTCATACTGCTTTTTAAAATACTGGAAACACATTTTTTTCCTTCCATGGTTTTCTATTTTCCAAGCCACTTTTATTTATTCAGCATTTATTGAACACCTATACCTTATCGGCATTGTTAATACCGTGATGATAAGACGCAACTCTAGCTGGATAAATCAGTCTCCAGTAGCCATGAGGCGGGAAAACCAGACAAGTCCTCGAGGGTGGCGCTGGAGTTGGACCTTGTTGGATGAGCAGGAGTTTGATAGACCATGAAGTGAGGCAAGAAATTTCTGACTGTGGGAGGAGAAGGAGCCAAAGCACAGAGCTGGGATAACACATCTCCATGCATACATCAATGTGCGTGATTCTTAGTTGATTTACCTTTATCTCATTTTGCAGTCCACCTGCAGTTTTCTCTCATGTAGAGCTTAGGTTTCTTCAAATGTACTTTTGCTTTTTTATACATTGCTTTTAAAACAGGAATTTGACGTTTTCCTGATGACCTGGGTCGATAGAAATTGTTTTTGCTTTACTATTAAACATACTGAAACAGGCTACTTTGAATGGAGTCATTTTCCTGTGTTCTGAATTGTGTCAGTCAAGCGTACCCGCGGGGGTCGAATGCCTGTTAACGGTGAGGTCTGTCTGTGTTCCTCTGTCTAGATTAAGTTTGACAGTATGGAGGTGTGTGTCTGCTGTGAGCTGCAGCACCAGTCGTCCGGCTGCAGCAACCTCGGGGAGACGCTGAAGCTGAACCCACTGCAGGAGAACTGCAACGCCGTGAGGCTGACCTTGAAGGTGACCCTGCTGGGCGCTGCCTGTGCATGCATTTCAATTCCATGCCTTACAGACATTTTAGGAAGACTTACTCACATATAGATTTCTTTCAGCTCTTAACATGCCGAGGTAGGTTTGAGGCAAGAGGGAATATCTTTCCAGAGAACATGTGAAAGGAGGATAGGGTTTGATTTTGAAGGTGTTCTTTCCGGATCTTGCTTTGCATTTTCACCATTTCATTGTACTGCCTCTGACATCTGCAAAGTCAGATGCCAGTGGTTGAAAGAGGTCTTTACAAATCGTGACGGGATGGATTCTACAGCTTTACTGACATTTTTGGCTGTTACACCATGAGGGAACAGATGGGGATTTATTTTGCTTTTTAAAAGATATTTGGAGGAAAAAAAAATCTGACAATCTCACGGCAGTCTATTTTCATGTATAACATCTGATCTTTAAAAAAAAGTGATTTGGAAAAATTGTTTATATTACTTCTCTCTTCCAAGTGTTTTATTCTGAAAAGCGAAATTGAACACTTAAAAATACATAAGAACAAGTGAACCCAATTCTCTTTCCCTTGAATGAAACCATGCCAAAGCTTTTTTAAAAGATGTGGCATAGGCCAGGCGTAGTTACTGACACCTGTATTCCCAGCGCTTTGGGAGGCCGAGGCGAGTGGATCACTTGATCAAGGTCAGGAGTTCGAGACCAGCCTGGCCAATGTGGTGAAACCTCATCTCTACTAAAAATACAAAAATTAGCCAGGTGTGGTGGCGTGTGCCTGTAATCCCAGCTACTTGGGAAGCTGAGGCAGGAGAATCATTGGAACCTCAAAGGCAGGGGTTGCAGTGAGATGAGATCGTGCCACTGCACTCCAGCCTGGCGACAGAGGGAGATTTCGTCTCAAAAAATGAATAAATAAGTGTAAAAACATGCAGCATAGTCCAAGGAACTCTTAGTTGGTGGTAAAATTGTGTTTGTGGTATGAGGGACCACTAGCATGCGTGTAGGGAATGCAGGATGCAGGGGACTGGAAACTGCAGAGAGCCACCTCGAATCTGGGGAGGGAGGAGGAAAGCGTTGACATTGAGTCCCTGTGATTAGTCCTCCGTGGGTGGTCACCGGCTGATAGACAAGCATAGACGCACAGAGAGAGAGGAGGCAGCTCATCTCCAGGGTAGGACTGGGACTGGCTCACGGCACCTGCCATATTTTGCACAGAGGAATGGGCCAAGTTGAGTGGTCCCAGCAGCTCACCAGAGCGATAGATGCAGTGGGGTGGGAGAAACCCAGAACTGCGGCACCCCAGGGCCCACCCCATCATGGGACCAAGTATTTCATGCCACCCACACTACCTACACCCACATTTCTACCTCATTGCATCCTGGGACCTGCCTGGGTCAGTGCCTGAGGTCTGCTGCGGCCCTTCACCGTCCTCTCTGGTGGAGACATAGGCAGCCATTGCTCACTCTGCGATCTCATTCTGACAACTGCTAAGTCGCTTCTTCAACCTGGGGATGTTTTCTTGAGCATGGGCGTGCATTTGGGCCTCATGTGACCTCCCATTCCTCGGTTGGCTGACGGGTGTTCAGTCTGCCCTCTCAGGTCCTGGAGGTCCCCTTGGAGGCCTTCACTCACGGGACGCAGGACCTAGTTTTCATGACTCACCAGCCCCTGAAGCGGTGACTGTGGTTTGAAAGGTAATGCTGTTGACAAAAAACACTCGCCAGGTGCAGGGGCTCACGCCTGTAATCCCAGCATTTTGGGAGGCTGAAGTGGACTGATCACAAGGTCAGGAGATCAAGACCATCCTGGCCAACATGGAGAAACCCTGTCTCTACTAAAATTAAAAAAAAAAAATTAGCCAGGCGTGGTGGCACGCACCTGTAGTCCCAGCTACTTGGGAGGCTGAGGTGGGAATCGCTTGAACCCGGGAGGCAGAGGCTGCAGTGAGCCAAGATCACATCACTGCACTCCTGGTGACAGAACAAAAAAAACCACCACTGTCTCTAAGAATGCAGTCTCAGGTCTAGAGGGAGCTGGTGACCTTGCAGTCTCACTCTTATTCACAGTTCTGGTACATTGGTGAGAAAAGCCCTTGGTATGAGGTGTCAAAAAATGGCATAAAGGCCACTGATATCAAGAAGTTCAGTGAAGGCTGGGAGCCCAGCTGAATGACTGGCATAGCCCCATGGGTATTCAGATTGCCCAGGACACTGGTAAGAGTTGAAAGCACAAGAAAGACTACACCATTTTAAAGTCCTCAATGAGCTTGTGTACAAAGGCTGCTGAGAGGTAGGAGCTATCAAAGCTGGTGGCAGGAGGCTCAAAGCAGGCAGGAGTTGTGATTCAGGTGCGAGGCCAGTGGTCTGGAAGTGGCAGCAGTGGCTTAGGTGCTAGGAGAAGAGGCAGCCTGCCCTTGTCCCCCACCTGAGGAGGGCCTGTACGAGAAGCAGTGGCCTTGGCAGGGACTGGCTCATCTGAGATCAAGAGGACCAGGGACTATTGGAAATGAGTGTCTGTTTATTGCGGTCGTCCAACTTTGCTACTTTCCAAATTTATCTTGGCTATCATTTCCTTTGCATTTCCATATAAATTTTAGAATCTGCTTGTTCAATTTGTGCTAAAATCCTGCTTGGATTTTGACTCGGATTTCATGGAATCCACACGTCACTTTGAAGAGACTAGACATATCCGTGATATAGTTCTTCATTTAAGTTGTACTTTCTTTCTTCAGTGTTTCTTTCTTTCATCAGTGTTGTGTAATTTTCGGTGTATAGATCTTAACGTGTTTTGTAATAGCTATGCTTAAAGTATTCCACATTTATTGGTGCTATCCTAATGGTATTTTTTAATGATCTGCTATTCACTGCTAACATACAGAAATTTGATTTTCGTTACCAATCTTGTACCTGTGGTCTTGCTAACCTCACTCATTAGTTCTGGTAGCTCCTTTGCAGATTCTTTGCATTTTCTTATATAGACAGTCATGTGCTATGCAAAGAGAGGCAATTTTACATCTTCCATTCTCCAGTCAAACAGAACCAATAGGGCAGACATAGATCGATGAGAGGGAATTCACTGGGAGAATTGCTTACATGGCCATGGAGACTACGAAGTCCTGTGACCGCCCATCTGCAAGCTGGAGACCCTGGAAAGCTGGGAATTTGGCTTAGTTCAAGTCCAAAGGCCTCAGAACCAGGAAAACCAGTGGTGGAACTCTCAGTCCAAGGCCAAGAATCTAGGCGTAGGGGTTGCACCAGTGTGAGTCCCAGGGTCCAAAGGCCAGAGAGCCCAGAGTTCTGATGTCCAGGGGCAGGAAAGGGTGTCTCTGCTCCAGAAGAGAAAGAAAATAATTCACCTTTTCTGTGCTTTTTTGTTCTATCCAGGCCTCTGGCCGATCAGATGGTGCCCCCAACATTGAGAGTGGGTCTTCCCCACTCAGTCCACAGACTCACATACCAATCTCCTCTGGAAACACCCTGCTTTGCCATTTCTCGAGTATCCTTTATCCAGTCAAATTGACCCCTAAAATAAACCAGCACACATTGCAATCCAGATGCCTCTTCTTTTCCCTGCCTTATTCCACTGACTGGACTATTCAACAGTATTGAATAGATGTGGTGAGAGCAGATGTTCTTGTCTTGTTCCTGACTTTAGGGATTATGTATCGTGTTAGCTCTAAGTTTTTCATAGATGCTTATTATGAGGTTGTAGATGTGCCCTCCTATTCCTAGTTTGCTGAGACTGTTTTTTTACCATGAATGGCCGTAGAATTTTATCAGTCTTTTACTGCATCTGCTTAGATGTTCCTATACGTTTTCTTCTTGAGTCCACTCAAATAGTGAATACCATTGACTTCTGAGTGGTGAGCCAACCTTGCATTCCTGAGATAAACCCCACTTGGTCATTTTTTCCTCAACGTGTCTGGTCCACTGCTGACCCTGTCTGTCAGAGGCATTCTTCATCTCTGTGCCTGTGTTTTTCATTTCTAGTTTTCTGCATTTGACTCTTCCTTATTGCTTCCATCTCTCTGCTACCTTACCTTGGTGATCCTGCATCTTGTTCACCTTTTCCACTAAAGCTGCTGTCTGACTGCATCTGCCCCAGGTAAGTGCTCATGTCTTTCCTTGGAGACTCTGTCTTTTCCTTAGAATTTGGGTTTAGTTTGCTGCCCTATGACCTCAGCTGACTGATGGGCTCAACATACGTTGGGAATTTGCAGAACTCAGTGTCTTGTTGTTGTTGCTGTTGTAATGTCAGGGCCATGTTCTTTCCAGCTTTCTCCATCCTCAGCAGAATCTGGAATCATGTTCTACATGATTTTCCCCCTGGGTAAAGAATTCTTGAGGAAACTTTTTCCCACTTAGGGGTTTATAGATGATGTGTTATTCTCTTTTTCATTGAATGTCTATATAGGGAAAAATCCTAAAGTCAGCCAGATGCTTTCTCCCCTTTAGGTATGTGATGGTCATTAATGCTGTTTTAAAATATGTCAAACTCTCCAGCTTCCTTTGCATGATAAAAGGAACCTGTCCCCTCATTGCTGAGGACCATGTAAACAAAACTTATATGTACCACTTTCAAGTTAGAGTATTTAAATGTGGTGTGAGGTTCTCCAGAGCTCTCTTTCCCACTGGCACCGTAATTGGCAGATTAGAGGTGGTGGCAGCACCATCAGCCTGGGCCACCACAATGAGCAGAGCCCCCTGCACCTTACCCACTCTGGAAAGTAGCATGAATGACTAACAAACTCTTTTGAGACAGGGTCTCACTCTGTTGCCCAGGTTGAGTGCAGTGGTGTGATCACAGCTCACTGCAGCCTCAATCTCCTGGGCTCAAGAGGTCCTCCCACATTTGCCTCCCAAGTAGCTGGGACTGTAGGCAAATGCCACCATGCCCAGATAATATTTTTTATTGTTTGTAGAGACAGGGTCTCACTGGCCCAGACTGGTCTGGAACTCTTGGCTCAAGTGATCCTCCTGCCTTGACCTCCCAAAGTGCTGCAGTTATGGGCATGA